GACGCAGACGAACCCCTTCTTAGATTCGTATTGTCCAGCGACCCCGATTCCAAATAAGACTACCCGACGTTGAGATGACCGCCCGATGAATTTACCGCCGCCGTTCTGTTCGGCCCCTACAATGGTGGCAGGCGGTAACGGGTCCTCAACTCCTGTTGTCAACCCTCCCCGTATACAACCTACTCTACCCAGTAACCCAACCGCCGTTGTACCCCCTACCCCATCAGCAATACTAGCCCCGCCTACGTTTGAAATCGGGCACAACGTATCCGAGTGGTTGTTAGACCTAGATATCTTTCTAACCACTGTTCCCAAGGGACATCAAACTTCCTATCTGCTAAATTTTCTTTCCCCCTCTGCTCGCCGTCGTCTCGTGGAGGCCGGCGTACGACCTGAGACCCCTTTCTCCATCGCACGAGACTTATTCACTGAAAAGTGCGACGACCCTACACCAACCGGGTTCGTAATTGAACAATTTACGAAATTGAGCCAGAAACCTGATCAGTCAATCGATGATTTTGCGGCTGAGCTGTCACATGTGGCGACCATCGCATTCCCCTTCGCCACCGAACATGAACGAGAACGACTGATCCTCCACTGGTTCATCTCCGGACTTTTTGATCCCAAGCTAGCTGATGCATTAGTCGTCAGCCGTCCCACCACTCTTGCAGACGCGAAGGAATTTTGTCTATTTTACCAGAGCTACCACGCCGTACGTCGTCCAACACAAGCTACAGACACTCTCGCCAACCGCTTCACACCCTTCTTTACCCGCGACTCCACACCCTCAACCAACTTGGATCCCAGGACCTATCCAGAGTCCGCCATCGGCCGCAACCCCGAAACCCAACCTCCCAGTCCGTTTTCCCAACTACAATCCTGACTGCCGCTATTGTATGGCGTTCGGCCCATGTGCTCGACACTGTGGACACAACCCACCATGTGAGTATTTCTCCGTTCACCCCTTTTCTACTTATCCTTCTCCCGTACCCGCATTTATCATACCTGTCATTATTGATAATGTTAACGTTAATGCCTTAGTTGATACGGGGGCCAACGTCTCCCTAGTCACCCCTCACGGCCT